ACAAAGCAGGGGGAGTGGCAGGCAGAGGGAGAAGCAGGCTCCCCGCTGAGCAGGGAGCCCAATGCGGGGCTCCATCCCAGGACCCCGGGATCATGACCTGAGCCAGAGGCAGACACTCAACCCACTGAGCCACCCAGGCGTCCCTAAAACAGACACTTTATTATGCAAGTATCTATCACATCCACGCAACCCAAGAGGAGAGGTCTGAGAAATGAATTCATCTTTTCTTTCACTTGAGAGCTTCTGCTGTTCACATGGGCCCACACTCCGAAGCCGTGTCCTCTGACCTGGCCTGTCACCCAGCCCACGTTCGGTCCAGTGCAGACACCTCTGGTTTGGAGAACAGGGGGCAAGATGTGAGGCATTCCCTCAGCTCCCCCCCAAGCCCCCACCCCTGTTAGAATGCAGATATTTCAGTTTCCAGTTTGCCTGGTCAGATCAGCCCTGAGCCCCAGGTGCCCTCCTGTTCTCAGTCATGTATTTGTCTGGGGTTTGAGATCTTCAGGAACCCTCTAAAGGACCAGTCTTGGGGCCTGGTCGAGGGGCGCCCCGGCTCTATTGTGCAAAGTGCTTTGCTGCCTGGAAATTTTTGCATAAGCTGTGCCTTATGCCTGGAAGGTTCTCATTCCTAGTCTCTGAAAGCCTTCAGGTCTCAACTTATTTTAGTATTTTTTTATTAAGTAAACTCTACCCCCAACATGGGGCTCCAACACATCACCCCAAGATCAAGAGTCACACTGTATGACCAGGGCTTAGCATGCTGTTTGGCACAAAGTCGGTGCTCTGGAAATAATTGTTGACCAGTTCTCAGCCATGAGCTTCCTCACCTTCGATATCAGGGTGTTAATGTCTGCCTCATAATCGTTATTGTGAGCGTGGAGAGAGAAGAGGAGCAAGGAGACTGACATACAGTAGGTGGTCAATAAATGCTATTACTATTATTGTTATTATTACTGTGCATTCAGAGGCCAATGAGGACCGAGGAATCGTGGAGATGGGGACTTGAGGGCTATTTAGAGTGGGACAGGTTTCGTGGAATAGGCTTAAGCAAAGGCATGGAGGAGAGAGAATGTAAAGGCTGTACACAAGCCTATGTGGCTGGATGAGTAGTAGGGATGGGGATAGCCCTGCAGTTAGAAAGGCAGACTGGGGCCAGACCAGGGAGAGCCTTGAATGCCAACCCAGCACATTTAAATTTGACCCTTAGGCAATAGGGAGCCAATGAATGTTTTTGAGCAAAAGTGTCAACTGAAGAAGTGGTATTTTAGGAAGACTGATTAGGGCAAATCTGGATCAGGTGGACCAAGCAAGTGAAAAACAAAAAGCCTGACAGTTTCATTCATACTCCATCTCTAATCCTTGTGACTGCATAAAACATGCAAGGGTTAGGGGTAAAAGCTCTGACAGGAGTCAGATCTGGATTCACGCCCCCAGCCAAGCAACCTGACGATCTGGCTGATGCTGAGCACTCCCCGAGCACTCACGTTACCTCCCCAAGCCTTGGTTTGTCTGTCTACAAAATGGAGATAATCATCCCTACCCTGCCTATCTCACTGGACTCTCGTGAGAATTGAGTGAAATTAAAGATGTGCTCATTAACTCATTGAAAAAATGAACCCCACTCAGGGATCAAGTGGTGTTGTAAATGCTGAGGAGACAGGGATGAAGTGGGAGTTCAGTGAAAAGGGACACATAATTACCAATTACTGAGTGCTCACTGCATGCTTTTTTTTTTTTTCCTAAGATTTTATTTATTTATTTGACGGAGAGAGACAGCGAGAGAGGGAACACAAGCAGAGGGAGAGGGAGAGAGAGAGAAGCAGGCTTCCCGCGGAGCAGGGAGCCCGAGGCTGATGCGGGGCTTGATCCCCGGACCCTGGGATCCTGACTTGAGCCGAAGGCTCAATCCCCAGAGCATGGGATCCTGACCTGAGCCAAAGGCAGCCACTTAACGACTGAGCCGTCCAGGCGCCCCCCCACTGCGTGCTCTTTTCCACCTGTCATCTCGCTGAATCTGCCAGGATGCAGGGCTCAAACTCACGACCCTGAGATCACGACCCAAGCCGAAACCAAGAGTCAGATGCTTAACTGACTGAGCCACCCAGGCGCCCCTCATCTCAATGAATCTGAACAATATCCTTACCGGTTGAGCCCATTTTATCAATGAAGAAACGGAGGCTCAGAGGGGCTCAGGGCGTTCAGCCCTTAAGTGACAGAGCTCAGGTCGTGGGCTCAGGGCTGACCCATGGGTAAGATGACTGCCTGTCTCCTAGCACTAAACCTTTGAACACACCTGGCTATTTCCAACTTCTAGGCCTTTATCTTGTTCCTTTTCCAGGTATCCCATCCCACTTTTATTTTTGCCTGTGGAACTCCTGTTCATCATCTTTTAAATTTTAGATCAGGCTTTTCAGGAAGCCTCCAGGACAGCTGAGTGAGACCCCTGCTCTGGGCTTCCTCAGCAATTAACCAAACGTCTCCCATATTAATCACATCAACACTATATCCTTGGGGTCACCTGGCTGCCTCAGTCTGTGGAGCCCGTGACTCTTGATCTGTGGGTCATGAGTGGATCGTGAGTGGGGTCATGAGTTTGAGCCCCACCTTGGGCATAGAGATTACTTAAACAAAACAAAACAAAACAAAACAAAACAAAACTATATCCTTGGTCTCTAAACTTTAAAAAAGCATGTTCCCTATCAGTAAAAAAATAATTTTAAGTGTACATCCATAATTAGGCATGTTTCTTAATAAAGTACTGTATAATACACATGCTTCTGTCAATCCATATATACTAAGTATCAGTCAACCCTAGTTCTTATTTTTTATGAAAAATAAAGATAAATACAGGATCTGATCTAATATTTTCTTCCCACACGCCACTGACCCCTGACAAATTACAAATTGGCACCTCCGACCGGAAGCTGGGTGGGGGAGGGTGGGGCTGGCAAGCGATGGCGTCCTTCAGGCTGCTGGTGGTCTGAGAACTGGGGAGTCAACCTCTTCCCTCAGTGGGCTGGACCTGGGGGGGGGGTTGTGGGCAGGAGAGAAGCACCTCCCACAGTGCTGCCACCTTCTTGAGCCAGCGGGAGGTGGGGTGAAGTTGAGCCTGGATTAGCCTGGGAGGGCAGGGAGGCTGCTAGAGCTGCAGGGTGGCCAGAGAAGGGGGTGTGGATAGGCGAATGCACCATGCCGCTGCAGGACGACACCCTCCGAGAGGTGTGGGCCTCGGACAGGTCCGGAAGCGCCCCCCCCACCACCTCACCTCAACCTATCTGAACCCTGGGGGGGCCCAGGTGGAGGGGTTGGGGAGGGGCAGAAAAGGGGAGGAAGACAGACTGATTGCATTGCTACCCTCAGTGGACATGAAGAGGAAGGCCAGAGCCCCGAGGTCCAGCAGCGCCCCAAGCAGGTATGTCACCCCTGCTTGGAAAGGAGGCAGGGAGAACCCCCCCACTGCGTGTAAGCCCTTGCAGGGAAGGGGATCTGGGAGTGGGACGCGTCCCCCTCAGCAGCGTCTGAGTGTTTCTTCCTTGTAGTTTTGCCTTTTTTTTTTTTTTTGTCTCTTTTGAGGAAAAGGGTGTTTCGGGGCATGGGATGTCCAGGGGAGGAATTGGGACTTTGGGGCCTTGGACGCGGCCATGATGCATGCGAGGGGTCACCGTTCCCACCCCAAGAAGAAGGCTGCTGTTCCCCTCCCGATAATCCGCGGTTATTTCTGGCGGCTCAAGGGATTAGAGGGTCATGGGCAGCCCTCCGAGCCCCCCTTTCCTTCCTCTCCCTCCTCTTGACCCCCACTCCGCAGCGACCCGCCAAGGGGCAGAAGTTGAGGAAGAAGAGGACGGAGGCTCCCGAGTCCCCGGGCCCTAAGGGATCCAAGCCCCGGAGACCTGCCGGCGGGCGGGGGGCCGAGCCTGGGGGCGCCCCCGGTGAGGGGCCCGGGAGGGGTGCGGCTGAATCC